AAAAAAAAAAAAAAAAAAAAATAGGAGAAAGTGGGGATATCTAATCTGTAGGCAGCAGGCAGAGGTATAGGGCAAAAAGAACACTCAAGTATCTGAAGCCATTAAGTAGAAGTGAGATTATTTTTTCCTTTATGGTCTTAAATTTATATATAGGGTTAACAGAAAGACAGTGAAAGGACACATTTTCAAGATATGCTTGGCAGGATTTTCTATAGCACAAGATGGACAACTCTTTGACAGCAGAGGATTTATGTATTTTCCAACCTGCTGTACTGTAATGTTAGGTGCTTTGTTAGGTAGACTCTAGTAAATTAAGATTTTAAATCTCCCATTACTTAGCCTAATAATCTGAACAAGAAAAACACTCATAACATGTCTCAACTTCTTTATAAAATAAAAACCAAAAAACCAGTAAGCAATAATTAAATGGAATAGAAAATAAGAACACTACTGAGTTTGACAAATTTATTGGTATTTTAGTAAAGACATTCATCTCAGTCATTTCTCTCTCCCATCTTGACACCATAGGTTAGTATTTCTTTGGGGTCAAGAAAAGAATATGTAGGAGAGGGAAGTTATTTTAACAAACAGTAAAATGGACAAAAAATGGATAGTTTGCCTACATTAAAGTAAGTTGAAGTTAAATTCATCTATCTTGATAAAATTAAATCATGTAAGAACTAATAGTTCTATGTACATTTCCATTGTTTTACTTGGGGCTTATTCTAAACTTAAAAGCAAGTGAATAAAGTGTTAGAAATACAGAGGCTGCTTCTCTGGAGTTATTACCAACTAAAAAAGCTCAGAGAGTAGTTACCACCAATAAAATAGACTGAAGCTGCCTCCAAATTTAACATTGCAAGAGTTTTCAAGGGAATCATTATACTGTGTTTCTTTTGTCTCTGACTATGCTTTTAAAGATGTGTAACTGTCACATTAAAAAAAAGTTCATATATAATACAAAAATACAAAAACAAACACCCTACAAATACACAAATCTAACAAAGTAAATGTGATGAGAGATTCCATAAAATATGTTTGAAGATGCATTTTCTTTCCTTCTATTTTCAGTACCTAAAATGTGCTTTTGGAGGGGCCATCATTGGTCAATTATGTAGATACTTAAATCATATAACTGTACTTATAAGAAAGCTTATAATTAAGTTCAATTCAAGTTGGATTTCACAAGTTAGTAACTTAAATGCTTAGACAAAGTTATGAAAGTGCATCTTCTCGTTTTCCATCTTCACACAATGTTAAGGGTTTTTTTTTTTTTTTTTTGGTGTTTATACCTTTAAAAAACAGTAACAGCCAAATACTTAAGCAATATGTACATTTAAATTTTTGGTGGTGGTCTGTATTTTAAAAGAAACAGCTTCCTTATGATTCGCCTCAAGTTCTGGTGGAAATGCTTACAGGAACTGGCTAATAAACAAATACCAGGATAAGCACATTCAAAATACTGATTTACTTTGGTAGCATATGGTTTTTCTTTGAAGACTAGTGAAGAAAGACAAGGTGAAGTGAGCTATTTCAAATACTCAACAGTTTACATAAAAATTTAAAATGTATTTATTTTTAAAAAAGAGCTAAGTGTCTATATCCGCTGATAGCAATGCAATATCTAGTTTATGTTGATGTGAAACAAAACAAATGCCCATAAGGAAAAAAAAGCTGTATTTTAATTTTATCTAAATTTACTTTCAGTCAATAGTTCAGTAACATTTCCCTCCCAATACAATACTCCCTCTCTCTATAAGGCTGTTCCTGGGAGCCAGACAGGTTAGGTGATGAGGGAGTTAAGAGAGTAACTGCTTGCAGTTTTAAATAGACAATAACTTTTGCTTCCCTCTCAATGTGCTAATAGTTGTGTCTAAAAAAATATGCAATTCTTAAAAAGGTACCATTTCTGATTTCTTTATTATCTGTAACCTTTGGAAACTAATCACATGAAACTACAAAATTAGCAAATGTCTTGAAATCTGTATATAAAACATAAATTACCTCTAATTTCAAACTCTCATTTATTAGTGTACCACTCAATCTTAAAAAAAGAAAAAAAAAAGGAAAAAAAAGCGGCTCCAAAGATAGTCTTATACCATTCTTTAAAAAAGGAAACTGTTCCTTTTAACTTTACACCCACCCCACACCCCAATTTCAAAACACATCATTTAATTGTCTTGGTCATGGACATTTCCAAGATGAGATTTTATATTTCGTTCCCATAGCTTCTGGTTATCAGAAAACCCATGCTTTCCTTTATTGAATGAGTTTGGTCCAGCTGATGTTGGTGTATCCCTGTGATAAAAGAAAGAAAATTTATTTACAATGTTGTATAAAAAGCCACATGGGCTACCTTTTTAACTCTT